CACACACACACACACACACACACACACACCTTCTTGAAGGCCTTCACCAGCTTCTTCTTGTCATAGTCAGCAGAGATGCCCTGGACGGTGGTGAGGGTCTTCCTGCCGTTCCTCTGCTGGATTCTTATGTGGATGTAGTCCTCTGTCCCGGCGGGGAGGCGGTCATCACCCTTAGTTGCATCAGCAAAGGGGTCTGAGCAGGACCAGAGCAGACATGTTGGACCGGTTCTGTTCATGGGCTCAGAGCTCTACACAACATGTGCTAACAATAAACCCACAACACGGTAAGAGKAGAGCTACACAACTACACAACTACCGTGTAGAAACCATGAAACTTGTCCTTTYTGTGTTATTAGCCGGAGCTAACGGATGTTAGCATCTGCTAGGCCTAATGGCGGCCGCCTGAAAAACCCGCTGAGATCTTCGATAAGTTTCATTTTTATTACAACTGATAAAAGATTTAAAGAAATAAATCCCGTCAGAACCATGACAGCTGTCTTTAAGACAAGCTCCACAACAGACAACTTCCAGCACAAAAAGCGGCGGATCTCGCCCTTCCCCCACCGGGCCGGACCGTTCCGGGCCGGGCCGTTCCGGGCCGTCCGGGCCTCCATCCACCGAGGAGACAAAGACTTACCAAAGGTTTGGAGATTCTGGATAGCGGACATACGATAAGATTAGCTTTCCTCTCAGGTAATAACTTGGTGGTGAGCGGGTTCGTCAGAAGACTTGGACTTGTTCAGACTGCTCTGGTTCTGGACCTGATCCTGATCAGCAGCTTCACCAAATGGAGGCTTGAGTCTCGAAAACAAGACTTTATAGACCCGCCCCGAAACTGACGTCACGACGTAACTGACGTAAGTACGAGAAACAGCCGGGAGCCACGCCCTGAAAGGTTTCTCAACTTTACAGGAAAAGGTGACGTCATTGAGCCAGAAGAACATGAAGTCTTTGAACAAAGATCAGGTCTGCTGGTGGTGGCCCGGGGCCAGAGGCTGTGTGCCAGCCCACCTCTGTCCCACTTCACCATCATCACTGTCTGAATGACAACTACAATTATATATATCTATAATGTTATTATTGTTTTTATTATTATTATTATTATTATTATTATTATTATTATTATTATTATTATTATTATTATTTTTATTATTATTATCATTATTGTTATTGTTATCAATATTGTTATTATTGTTTTTATTATTATTATTATTATTATTATTATTATAATTAGTGCCAAGAACAGAGTGAAGCTGATAATGTGAGATCCTGGAGGAGCATTGATCAATAAATCAGATTTATTCTGTCGTCCTGTCAACACAACATCAAACTGGAGTTTAACACATTAAACATCTGGTCATCTTCAGAAACCATCAGGACATGTAGACGTGTGCTCTCAGGTTTTATTTTATTTATCTGCAATAATCCATGGCACATCCTTATGATGCAGTTATTGTTTAATACAACTGTTCAATAATAATTATTATAATAATAATAAAATCAACAAAAACACTTTTATAACCTACAGTAATATTTATTGTGTCAATGGTAATATCAAATAGTATTTCTGTAGCACATTAAATACAACAACAGCTGAAAACAGTGCTTTACAGGTCAGTCAAAAACTTGGATCATTAAACAAAATAAAATATAGAAACACACCATAAAACCAAAAATAAAGAAAAAACATCATCTCTGATTAAACTTGAACCCGATGCTGAATGACAAGTGAAAGAAAAGACATGTCTGCAGGAAGTAGACTGGTCCACAGCTGTGGACCAGTCTACTTCCTGCAGACTGTGTGAACAGATGTGTCCTGATGGACAGAAGGAGCAGCAGAAGTGTACAGTCTGTTCACCATTTCTTCTGACCTCAGGTCACACAGGGACAGAAACTGTAACGTGTGTTTTATATAGTGTACATAATCCACTGCACAACTTTATAAATCATTCTTTTAAATCCATCCAGTGGTACCAGAGATATTTTGCTAACACAGGCATGTATCTTCATGGCATAGGGTAACAATAAAATAAGGTGGTCATAATATTCCACATTTATTAACATAAAAATACAAGAGAAAAAGATTTCAGTTATTGTTTCAGCATCATTCAAATGACCTGCAGCTTGTGTGTAACGTCAGCTACACAACAGTAATCACACAGTTTACACTTCACTCAACACTTAATGACAACTTGTAGTTTTTGGGCCACAGCAGTAATATTCATCTGAGCTGAGAGTGAAGAACATGGATCAGTTCTAAACAGAACTGATCCATGTTCAGGACAGAAGAACCGCTTCATGGTTCTGCTCTTAATACAGACCTGCTGTAGAACTGTACAGACTGTTACTGTGCAGACTGTTACTGTACAGACTGTTACTGTACAGACTGTTACTGTATAGACTGTTACTGTACAGACTGTTACTGTGTAGACTGTTACTGTACAGACTGTTACTGTGCAGACTGTTACTG